GTGTGTTTGCAGTCCTAAATAAAAAAAAGGCCCTTATTCGCACAAATGGCTACAGTTAAATATAGATACCAGAGTACAAACTTTATAGATATGACAGGTAGGACAGGCTACAGGGTGGGGTCAGCCTGTACATCAAACGATATACTCGTCTGCATTGAGCTGCTGAATACCACAGATGATATGGTGGAAGTGCTGATAATCAAAATAGAGATCCTAAATTGTTGTGGGAACCGACCTGTGAGATTTATATTTATTTAATTTATATGAATTTATATTTACGTTAATTTATATACTTCGATAGCAATTTGTATAATGATAAGTGGACTGTATTTCTGCAATAATCTCATAATCTCACAAATCGATCCTCTACACATTAGGGGGGGTTATTAAATTAATATATATGCAGCCAATCAAACTGCAGAATTAACTACATACATTGAAGAGGTTCCTTATCTTATAGTACAGCAGGTTAGTCCACCAGGTATAACTAGGGTGTAGACACCAAATTATCCTCTTTGAGGTAGCTTCCATATCACCCAGTAACTGGTGCACAAATCTTGCTTCCTCGTCTTGACCTGTCAAAAGTGCGCTAGCTGTGAAGCCAGAATCCTATATATGACAAGTATATCAGAGAAAACACTTTACAGTACATGGAACATTAAAGACCTGGCTTAATTACCTTTAGTATGAGGCGATTTCGCGTTCTAACCGGCTAACCCTATATCCTGACATTAATGGCCATAAATGAATGATAAACGGGTTTCGGATAGACACTTAACTTGTATTTGTAGACAGCGTGTTGACAATGGTACACCTTTGGGTTCCATAACACTACGTCCAAGTAAATTTAACAGGAGCCGAATTTGCTCCCGTGTGAGCCTCTGGTCTCAAATAACAATGGCTGTTTAACACTCCATACTATTGACGTTACTGGCCGACATTGTCCAGAATGATAGGAGCCGAATTTGCTCCACACGTCTCGGAGGTGACACAACAATGGCTGCCCTCCTCCTCACTCTGACGCCTGGCCTACTTTGTCCAGATTTCAGAAAGTGATAGAAGGGTCACATTTACTCTACTTTAATATTGATAATTAAGTTAATTTATATAAGATGTTTTTATGATGGTAAAGTCCAAAGACTAATGTATTTAAGAATAATTCCCACCATAATAGGTGGTGAATTATAATAGTATGTGGTGATGCTATCCCGTTTTCTTTAGATGGTAATTCCACTACAAGTTACGTTTTCTATGGGTAACTTGTTGGTAATACAGTTATTATCTGTATGATTATTAAATGGTGTCGGATTTTCCGACATAATTCCCCAGGGGGCTGCTCACGGGTCGAAGTCCTCTTTAGAACAGACGAACACCGATACTCCTCCTTCGAATTATTACATTAATTTGATGTTAGTAGTTAGTAATCACACATTTGTGCGTCTGTTCGTACAGGACGGATGTCCCGTACTAGAGTTGCAGGGGTTAGAAGTCTAATGCGATTTCATTTCCCTGTTAACTCTTGAAAGGCTAATATTCAAGCCTTATTACATATTATTTAACCCAGAAGACTGGATGTGATCAAGTACTACAGTCAAGTATGATTCAGGGACTGCAGTGAGATCAGTGACATTAGATATAACTTGAAGTTTCTTCAGGTAACTGGTCACTGATATATAAACACTGAGGCCCATGGAATACATCTTGATTAAATAATAAATGTATCAAATCAGTCATCAGATTTATTGGGGTTTAATTTAGTTAATTGATTCAGAAGATTGAATAGCTCATCATTAAAGTAAAGTATGGTTCTGAGACTGCAGTGGGATCAGTGACATTGGTCGCAGTGACTTGTAGCTGTTTTAGGCTACTGTTCACTGATTTGCCACTGAGGCCTCATGAAATCATCTCCAGCTTTAAATGATGATACTAACATCAACCTCTGTTGGTATAGTCAGCTGTAATCTCCTTAGTATAATGCTACTGGAGAAATATAATCAGCTGACAAATTTAGATTTCTATTGGTATTGTTTATCTGCAGGCATAGGTCTCCTCAGGCTTGATACTGGGCCTGAGAGTAATTTACCTCCTGCAGAGTTTAACATGGTTATGCCCTGATATTTAGTAGGGCTACCGATGAATCGATGGTAGTAGTCTGTCCCCACAAGGACAGCCATTTGGCTTTTGATTTGCTCAAATTTACCTGCAGCTGCTTGATAATAGCTTTCCAGGTCAGCATAATCAACTTGAGATTGTTGTGACAAATCTTCACATTTCTTGATCTGTCTTGTTAAGTGGCCTTTAAGACCTGCAAGGGTTCTTTTCATTCTCCCTGCATTATCCATACTGGCTCGTTGGTGAAGCCTTGTGGGGCTTGTACTTGGGCTGCTCATAATACTGAACAAGCACTGATGGTAGCCTAGGGTAAATTCTGCACTCACTAGGCAATAATCCTACCTCTACTAGAGGTTAGCACTTAAAATTAATACACATTATATATACACAATCATACACACTAATGATTTGAGTGATAAACCAGTGTCACTGGAAGTACCTTTAGGTTAGCTCTTCTATATCACCCTAGGATGGTAGAGACACTAATTAATCACTCAAAGGTGTAATGATCATAAGTAAATTATTATATATACACAACTCAACTCGAGTTGATAAAAATTACACCCAAAATAGGGTCTGGACCATTCATTAATGGTGCTAGGTTGTTCAATATAGTACAACTGACTATGGTAATAATGGGACTAGGATGAACAATAATAGTTCAACTAGTCATATCCTACCCTGTTGTGGGTTGGCAATTAGTAAATATTATACTGTGATCACTAGTGCAATATATATTAAATAATTCTCTATTTTGGATAAATAATATACACAATTATTGATAATAGCCTCTTAATTAGCCTCTATGAAACTTCTAATATTATCTAGAAGTATTAAATATTATTAGTGACCTCGCGAAATACAGTCCACAAAATTCGTAGATAATCTCTCGCGAAATGTAACACCACGAAATCCGTGAACAATCTCGCGAAGACAGTCACTAATTTGGCTGGATTCTATATTAGCGCTGTCATTTCACGAAATAACACGCCACCAAATATCTGTGGGTGTGCATGAAACCGCTGACGAAGCTGAACTGGGCTGAGGGAGGCTCCTGAGCTCCCTCGAGGCTACGCTGCCGTCTTGACTGCTGGCTTTGTTTAAATAACACTGCACTAGTATATTTAATGAATCCACTGGTTAACTGGTTCATCCGGTACTAAGATGACCAAATGTGGGTTCATAGGACCGAATATTCCGGTTCCGAAGGTCCAAATAATCCGGTTCCGAAGGTCCAAATAATGTGGGAACCGACCTGTGAGATTTATATTTATTTAATTTATATGAATTTATATTTACGTTAATTTATATACTTCGATAGCAATTTGTATAATGATAAGTGGACTGTATTTCTGCAATAATCTCAATCTCACAAATCGATCCTCTACACATTAGGGGGGTTTATTAAATTAATATATATGCAGCCAATCAAACTACAGTAATAGCTACATACATTGATGAGGTTCCTTATCTTATAGTACAGCAGGTTAGTCCACCAGGTATAACTAGGGTGTAGACACCAAATTATCCTCTTTGAGGTAGCTTCCATATCACCCAGTAACTGGTGCACAAATCTTGCTTCCTCGTCTTGACCTGTCAAAAGTGCGCTAGCTGTGAAGCCAGAATCCTATATATGACAAGTATATCAGAGAAAACACTATACAGTACATGGAACATTAAAGACCTGGCTTAATTACCTTTAGTATGAGGCGATTTCGCGTTCTAACCGGCTAACCCTATATCCTGACATTAATGGCCATAAATGAATGATAAACGGGTTTCAGATAGACACTTAACTTGTATTTGTAGACAGCGTGTTGACAATGGTACACCTTTGGGTTCCATAACACTACGTCCAAGTAAATTTAACAGGAGCCGAATTTGCTCCCGTGTGAGCCTCTGGTCTCAAATAACAATGGCTGTTTAACACTCCATACTATTGACGTTACTGGCCGACATTGTCCAGAATGATAGGAGCCGAATTTGCTCCACACGTCTCGGAGGTGACACAACAATGGCTGCTCTCCTCCTCACTCTGACGCCTGGCCTACTTTGTCCAGATTTCAGAAAGTGATAGAAGGGTCACATTTACTCTACTTTAATATTGATAATTAAGTTAATTTATATAAGATGTTTTTATGATGGTAAAGTCCAAAGACTAATGTATTTAAGAATAATTCCCACCATAATAGGTGGTGAATTATAATAGTATGTGGTGATGCTATCCCGTTTTCTTTAGATGGTAATTCCACTACAAGTTACGTTTTCTATGGGTAACTTGTTGGTAATACAGTTATTATCTGTATGATTATTAAATGGTGTCGGATTTTCCGACAATTGTTTGTAGTCCCTGTGGTGTAGTAGTAAGGTGCTCGCCTGGCATTTCATGAGCATTTTGTTCGGGGTTCGTATCCTGGTCGGAGAGGATTTACTGGGTGTAAATCCTTCTCTGTAGCCTCTGTTTACCCAACAGTAAAATAGGTACCTGGTTGTTAAACGATTTCGTTGGGTCATATACTGGGGAATATTAGGATTAAGGACTTGCCCGAAATGCTATGCATTTCTTGTAAAGCTTGTGGCTTTACAAGAATGTAAGAACTCATATATATACTGTATATATATAAATATAATACTGTATATAATAAATATATATACTGTACTGTGTGTGTGTGTGTATATATGTATATATATATATATATATATATATATATATATATATATATATATATATATATATATATATATATATATATATATATATATATATATATATATTATATATTTTTTCCAGAGCAGCCTCAAAATAGTAGCAGCCCCACATGCAGGGGAAAATATTTTAAGAAATACATTTTATTATTGTACTTATTAATAATCTGCATGTATTGCAGATTGTGAGCAGCTAGTGAGAAAAATGCTTGTGCTGGAACCAACACGGCGGTATACGGTAGAACAAATTAAGAGACATCGATGGATGCAGGCAGAGGAGCCTCCTCGCTTGTCCTTTGACTCTCCTTCCATCAGAGCAGAGAAGACAACTGATCCTAATGAACAGGTCCTAAGAGTCATGCAAGAACTGGGTATAGATATTAACAGAACTAGAGAGGTTAGTCTTTTTGCTTAATACTGTACCAAGGTACAGTATATAATCTTTAACTTTTGAATTGCTGTTAGAAATTACATTTGTAATTATATACAAATCTATTGTCTCTAAACAGTAGCTATTGAGAAAAGCATCATGTGGGAATGTGAATTTATTGTTGACGATGATTTGCTCACAAGTGCTTTCTCATCTTATGCGTTCTATGCACAAATCCACCTGGGTTCTTACACATAGTGATGGATGTTAGAGGTCTAGAAATATAATGATATCGCCTACATAAGTCGGGTAGTTATGATTACCTATCAGGAGGAATGCAGTATTTCCTAATGTTACATTAAGTGTAAGTGACCTATGCAGTGTTTGGGATGGCATATTGCAGTGATCACTTTCATCAATATTCTTATTTAGGCAACCTTATTTTCCTCCTACCCTACATTGGTTTCTCCACATAAGAGCTTAGGTAGCCTGTGTATCTACCTAAGATACCGTCATGTGGTAGAGCCCACACATGGTAACAGCATACTGATCTTGTGCTAAAAACAGAAGAGGGTATGATTGATCAAATTCTTGTGGGGGTAAAAGCTAACCCCCTCTTGTGTGACTACCATGTTTTCAGATGGACTACTGATATATAAACACACATTAAGGTAAAAGATGACGAATTTCTAGATTACCAGCGAGGTGACTATCAAAGAATGAGGGAGGAACTGTAAACCATCTCCTGGAGGGAGCTGATGGGTGAACATGGCACGGAAGCAGCATGGTAAAATTTCAAGAGGGTCATCACAGAACTTGTTTAAAAGTGTGTCAAAAAGAAGAAAAATAAGTAAGGGAACTGAATGGATGACACAGGTCGTAAAACAAGCATTGGTAAGCAAGCGAAACCTTTGGAGAATGTATAAATCCATGATAGACATCATTAACTATGAGTTATACAAAAGGGCACTAAATGTGGCCACTCAGAAAATCAGAGCAGCAAAAAAAAAAAAATTACAAAAGAAAACTTGGTCAAAACATAAGAAAGATACAAAATCATTCTATGCCTATAAAGAGGTAAAAACAAAAACAAAGGATTCGGTTGGAACCTTAATACTGTAGATGAGACCAACCAAGCTATAATGGATGATAAAAGGGCAGCAAACACACTAAATGATTATTTTACATCAGTGTTCACACTCAGAAGATTGGATGACTTCCTATCACCCACACAAATGTTTGAAGGAAGGGTGGAGATTAAATTTAAGAATATACCCATAACATGCAAAATAATTTGAAAGTACATTGATAAACTAAAAGACTCAAAAGCCCCAGGTGTGGATGGAGTCGAATCCAAAGTCTTAAAGGAACTGGCAGAAGAACTATGCCTACTGCTGAAACTACTTTTCACAAAATCTCTGGAACAAAATCTCTGGAATACAATACTACCTCTGGAAGGGGTAGTCCTCCAAGATTGGAAATATGCAAATGTTACCCCTATTTTAAAAAAAGACAGAAAGAGCTTGGTATAAAATTACCAGCCAATCAGCTTGACATCACACATCTGCAATCTCAAGGAGAGAATCCTCAGGGAGGGAGTCATTCACCATCTTACAGTGAACAACCTTGTACAATCAACACAACATAGATTTGTTAAAAACAGATCCTGCCTTACAACCTTGCTCACGTTTTTGGAAACAGTAACCAGCTACTCAGACAAGGGTCTTCCAGTGGATGTAGTATACATGGATTTTGCTACAGCTTTCGATAAGGTACCACATGAAAGATTGGCAAGGAAATTACAGGCCCATGGAATAAATGATAAAATATTAGAATGGATAAAACAATGAAACAATGGTTGAAAGAAAGAAAAAGAGTCGTGCTAAATGGAAATGAATCTGAATGGAGAAGTGTGATAAATGGGGTGCCACAAAGGTACATTTTGGGACCTACCCTTTTTGTCATATACATCGATGACATAGATGAGCATATTACAAACCATATAGTCAAATTTGCAGACAATACAATGTTTTATGGTTAAGTGGAAAATGATGATATTGAAGCATTGCAAAGAGATCTACATGAACTCCACAAATGTCAGAAGACTTCTCCACCACTCTCTTGACAAGTGGTGGATCTTGACCTTGGAGTAAAGATCCACCACTCATTAAAAGTTGAACAACAGGTGGGTGCAGCCATCAGAAAAGCTAACCAAACTCTTTGGATAATCAAGCGTACATTTGACTATAAAGAAAAGAAGGTAATGATTCAACTGTATAAATTTCTGGTGTGCCCCAATTTAGATTGCTGTATCCAAGCGTGGAGACCTCATTTCCAGAAGGACATAGCTGCTCTGGAGAAGGTGCAACACCGGGCAACAAAAGTCATTCCAGAGCTAAGTCGTCTCCCGTATCAGTAATGCTTGAAGGCCACAGGGCTAACACTGCAAACCAGGCACGCAAGTTTCATGATCTCATGAAACTTTTAAAATACTGAACAAGTTAGAGGATGTTGATGCGGATATTTCTTCACAAGGTCAGATGTAACACAAACAAGGAGCAACAGTTTCAAGCTCAACAAGCTACAATGTAGGACTGAGAACAGGAGATGTTTTTTCACCCACAGGGTTATTAAACCCATGGAACCAACTACCTGCTGAAGCTGTAACTGCCAAAACTGTGTCGAGTTTTAAAATATACCTAGAAAAGGTCATCAAGGCAAATGCGGGTGGGGGAACCTTTGACAAGCCACCAGCTTCCTGTGCTCGTCGAGGCCACTAGGGTTAGTGGCCCTCGGATAAATCTGGTATGATTTGGGTAAACCTCTGTGGGGCAAAATGTTAGCATAAGCAGCTCCTGATTTTACATGATATTCTTCCCAATAACATTGTCAGCTGTTAATGATCAACAAACACATTAGTTAATGCTAAGGAGAATTAATAATGAATACATTATGGCTGTATAATATCATTACAGTACTGTCTCATATTTCCAAATAGACATAAAACAGACATCCAATACTGTATTTGCATTCTGTTGTCTTCTAAGAGCACACAAAAAAGCTATTTATTGCTGTAAACTGACATGTTAAAGAGAGAGGCTTTATTATACTAATAGCTGAAGGTTACTAATGATATGTTAAAATAATGATGATAATGATAATAATGATAATGAGAGAGTAATCACACTATTGTGATGCATCAATGAGAAAAACTGATCAATGAGAAAACATTTCTCATTGATGCATCAGTGAGAAAGAATTGACCATAACGTGGCATAGTTTTCTAGAGTGTGAGCCTGAGAACACCCAGCGAATAGCTTTGATCCCTCAGCATGGCTTCTACCGATTTTCTCAATACCTGTAATAATAATAATGAGAAAATTAGTAGAAGCCATGATGTGGATTCACACCTTTACACTGGCTACACCCAAACTACACGCCCTAACCAACTTGTGAGTACCTAGTGTGCAGGCTCAAATCCTCCTCATGGTTTCTGCTGATTTTCTTATTAATACATCATGTTAATGTGATTTCTTTGATCAATAATGATAAAAGTAATAATAATACAGTAATACAGTAATAATATTTTATTAATTAAATATACATATTATATTACAGGGGTTATATGTGAAAGTACAGGGAATTCAACTTAAATAAAGCCACTAATATACAAATATTTTGGGGCAAAACTTAAAATAATCGACTTAAAAATTTATTTTTGCGTAGATGTAATGTGGTAAACACTATAATGTATACTAAACAAGCAGTAAGGTAACACATGTGAGGTGTTAAAGAAATTTAGCAAATGATGTACAATATAAAGGTGATACTTAATGATGATAGGCATAGACTACTTTAGTATAGTAGTCTGGAGAGGCTACTCCAGACCAACGACCAGAGTGCAGCTCTATAAGTCTCCTGAGACTGACGGATGCCTACTACTACTATATTATAGAATCTGTAGTTTTAGCAAAAGAATATAGTTTTTAACAATATAGTAATGTAACAGCAAAAGCATAAAGATGCACAAAGGTGCATATTTAGTAATGCCACTAGAATGCATAGCATTTTAGTGCATTTTTATTCACTAATAGTCTGTAGCACTATAGGTTTAATTATTGTGGTTGCATTGAAATAACTTGAAACTGGAGAATTGCATTTGTAAATAATGTATTGTACTATAAAAGTTATTCTACCCCTGATTATTATTTTCTTTCAGTCACTTGTGAGTGAAGCTTATGATAATTATACTGCCATCTACTTGCTGCTGCTGGAACGCTTCAAGCAGCACCGGTCATCGTTACACAGTGACAAACACGCTGGCCTAGAGCAACAGCGACGCAGACCTTCCAGTGTGGCAGAGGCAGCAATGAGAAAGATGTGTGCAATGGTTCCTACAGGCAAAGCTTCACCAACATCTACTAACATACATATCACACAACTCACAGGATCTTCAGGGAGTACCATTGGGAGTATGTCAACACCTCCATTGTCTGAGGTATCCACTGCAAGTATTATTAGCCCCCTCATTACACAGGAAGGAATGATGATAAGACCGTATGGCCATACAGGAAGAATATTGCCTGCAATTCCAGGAGAACACCAAAGTAATATGCCACATAGCTATATATCAAATTATCCAAGCTTGGGGCCACGTGGAAGCAGTGTACCAGAGACGGAAGCAATTACTACTAGCATAACACCACACGTCTCTCCGCCCTTCAGAGAACAAAGCCATGATTCTCAGACTGAATTTACACATGGTTATCAAAATGTTGTTGCTACAAGTGGGGGTATATCAATGGCATTAGTAGGCAAAAGTTATCGTGATAATGAGAGTGGTGCTTCTACCTCCATTGATGAGGGAGTAGAAGCTGATATGTGTGACTCAGAGTGTGGTTCCATTGTTGGAGTTACTCGTAGTGGCCATTGTATGCTTCAGAACATTAAAAGTGCCTCACAGCAGTCTTCAGAAACCTCTCAGTGCACTGACTCACCTCTTGGTAGTGTTACAAGCACAGAGTCTACTTTCGAAAGCTTCGAGTCACAGTTAGAGCCAGATTTAGGAGCTTCTCTTTCATCTTGTTCACATGTGTCCTTGTCTACAAGACCCTTAATGCATGGAGTGCAATCACGTTCTCTTCAGCCACAAGCACAGCTTGATCCATCTTCTGATGCTCCTGACCGTGCTCACACTCGCTCGCCAGTCAACTTCCGTGAAGGCCGCCGTGCCTCGGATGGTTTAGTTACACAAGGTGTTATTGCATTTCGGCAAAGATTGCTCGAAACAGAAAAAGCTCGTGGTTTGACAGAGCTACATAGTGTCCAACAGGAGCACCAAGCTCTTACTTCACTCTACCAGGCAGCTGCTGTTACTGGATGTGAGGAGACAACGACCAGACAGCAACCTCTCCACTATCAACAAACACAATATTGTCGACAATGGAGACATTCTTATGCTGGTTCTGACGAGATGAGTCGAGCTCCATTAGTAAGACAGAGAGTATCTTTGCCAGATACTCTTAGTTTTACAACACAAAAGCTTTTGCAGGCCAAAGATACCATTAAAGATACAGATTATTCAGTAATTAAACCACTACAGCAGCAGCTTTTTCAACATAGACTCCAGCAGAAACGTCAAATTTTGCAAAAACAAGCAGCATTCCCAAGACAATCTTATCCTGTTGGTTGTGAACTATCTCGAAGGCAAATGGTTCGGCAAGCATCTTACAAGTTAGCACAGCAACAGCCTGTATTGCCACCATTACCTGCCGAACTTAGTGCTGCACATCTCCTTGCTGGGTTAAATCAGGCTGACCTGGCATGTCCAACCATTGCAGAACATGTGGGATTTGCAGATCAGGATGAGGAAGGCTGGGAGGGCAATCCAGCTTGGAGGAATATTTCCTCTTGGGCACCAGATACCACAGCTGCAAATTGGCATACGCTTCCCTCCACACTGGCTGCGTGTCAGATTAGTGAAGCTCAGCAACAATCTCAACCACCTGTCTCTACTACAGATAGCCGGGCATGGACTGGTCTTCAAGCCTGGCATGGAGGTTGGCATCAGGTAAGGAAAGAATGACAAGTTGATTGATTCTTTATTCATCACCACTACCCCTATTCCTAATTTCATTTCATTCATTGTGGGAAGAAGATAGAAAAGATGGATCCTTGCTTAGTCTCCTCTTTTATTGCTGCATTTGTGTTTGTTTAATTCATAATAATATGCTTTGTCAGGGATAAGAAGCCTGTGTATATATATACTTTAGACTTGTAATTAGGTCCCCCCCCCAAGGTCAGACTACTAACCCTCCTCAGGGTGGAACCCCACAACAATTATGTAACTCCCAGGTATCTATATACTGCTAGGTAAATTGGAGGCAATAGATGAAAGGTGTAGCAATTATATTAAGTGTAATATAATTGCTCCAAATTCTCAGAAGTTTCAGTGCAGATAATTAGATGTTATTGAAACGCCTGAAACCTGAAACTGTTTCTGCCTGAAACGCTTTGCGTAATAGTGGCCTTAGACATTGTATGTACTAGCTCTATCTATAAATCCATCAACGTTTTGTATCTCACCTTGTATGTATGTACTTTACCTGAATAAATATTTTATTTGATTTGATGTACCTGTTAAACCCCAGCACTGCACCAGCCAACATATTACAGGGTGTGGTGGTGTGTCAGCCAACATGTGATGATGTTAGTACTGTACATCATAAGATTCTAAACTCCCATGCATACAAGGGGCTCACATTTGCTTCCTCAGGCCTCCAGTAACCATTCCCCCATCTTGAAAAAAATCCCAAGTCCCTCACTTTCCTTCCATGGCCTTAGTAATGTGGCCTATGTAATATTCCTAAGGCCCATGGCCTCAGGTTTGTGCAGGGCAGCCATACTATAACCCACTGAAATTTTAAGAACAAGAAGTGAGTGATTACCTTTATATATTTCAGGCAAAATGTGTGCTATGTCCAATTATAAGATTTAGGCTTGTATATCCCATTTGCCTATCGAGGCAAATGGGGGGGGGGGGGACCTTCGACGAGCTGCCGCCTTCCTATTCTCATTGAGGCCACTAGGGTTAATAGCTCTTGGGTAATTCATGTAAATATCAAACTTATACGCAATGAACACCATCTTTGACAGATATAATTTGTTAGAGCAAAAAACTAAATAAATAAAGTGAGAAACATTGAAAACAAATCAACAAAGTTATTCCCATGCAGCAACTCTCTCTCATTTTTTCCCCAAAAAAAACTCTACTTCTCCAGGCCACAACACCTAAACTACAAGAGGTAGAGGCTTATTACTTGGATTTTTGTGCTTCCTGGGTGCTAATTAACAATATCAAAAGAAAATGTTCATTTTTGTAACAACTTAATTTTTGCACATCACAGGAATGTTATTTTAAAAGGTGTGCAGTGCAGGGGTTAATTCCACATAATCTAGCCTAACCATTTCTGTCCCGGGAATCGAACCAAGGATTCCCGATTGCAAGTCTAGAACAAAGCCAGCTGTACAATACTGTGAGACACCTCAGTTTGTACTAGTAAATGTCAAGTAGTGAAGCTGCACATTCATCTCCCTATAATACTGTACAATACTTTCAAATACTGAGCCTTTATATTAGTGTACTATGGTATAGTACACTAATATATAGTGCATAGTATACTTATATAATATGTTATCAGTACAATAACTGATAACATTATCAGTTATTGAGCATGGAGTAAATATGCCAAAGCTTATTTAAAAATTTACTGTATTTAAAATTAGTTTATTTATTCATCTTCTGTTTAATTAAGCCATTTGGCATCTACTCCATACAGACCCTTTAAGTCTTTATGGGTTGTTGATATCACATTAGAGAAAATTTGTTATCTTGTATGCAGAGCCACATCATATATCTAGGGGTTTCTTGTGCTTCAATTTGAGCACAGATTGCTTTATATTAGACCAAAAATCTTAGTTGTATATCAACCATTTTATAATGCCGACAACTCTCAATCTGCACATGATATGTTCCTGTAAAACTTTGTGCAGAGTAAATTTGCACTTGGCAAAATGGACTGTATAACATAGATATATATCATATATTTTGGGGCCAACCCTTTTTGTCATGTTCATCAGTGACAGATGAGAATATTACAAACCACATCATCATATTTGCAGATGACACTAAGATCTATGGTAAAGTGGGAAGTAAAGGTGAGATTGAGACCTTACAAAGAGATCTACATGAACTCCACAAATGGTCAGATGACTGGCAAATGCTTTTTAATGTCGATAAATGCAAGACCGTACATGTGGGGCACAACAATCCATGTCACAACTACCAACTTGACATCACCACCTTACAACAGATAGATGAAGAAAAGGACCCTGGGGTCAGAATCCATTATTCACTAAAATTTGCACAACAAGTGTAAGCACCAGTAAAAAAAGTGAACCAAACCCTGGGAATAGTCAAGCATACCTTTACCTTCAAGGAAAAAAAGTAGTCATTCAGTTGTACAAGTCTCTGGTGCGCCCCACCTGGATTATTGCATCCAGGAATGGAAACCTTATCTTCAGAAAGACATAGCTGCTCTCGAGAAGGTGCAACACGGGCAACCAAAATCATACCGGAGCTTAGTCATCTCATGTATCCGGAACAGTTAAGGGCCACTGGGCTAACAACACTGCGACCTAGGCATGACAAGGCAGATCTCATCGAAACCTTTAAAATACTGCACTGAACAATTTGGAGGTTGCCGATCCGGACAATTTCTTCATAAATGGTCAGATGTAGCACAAACGAGGAGCAACGGGTTCAAACTCAACAAACCACAATGTAGGAAGGAAAACAAAAGATGCTTTTTCGGCCATATGTTTTATTTTTATTTTTGATAAGGTTGTAAACCCATGGAACTGCCTACCCGCTTAAGCTGTAAATGCCAAAACTGCTGGGTTTTAAAATACAACTGGAAAAGTTCATCAGAGAAAAATGTTGGGACCTTTAACAAGCCAAGGGCTTTGTCCTCATCGAAGCCACTATTATTAGTGGCCCTCGGGTAAATAAACAACATTGAGCGAGGAGCCTATGCTACAATTTCCAATTTCAGAATTGATTTAATTCATAAATGGCAAAATAGTAAAGTTCATGACCTTTGCTAGACCAAAGTTGGGATATGCAAAAGTTGTATAGTGCTCATATCTTAACGCTTTCGCGTCCTGATGATGGTAACGCTGTCATCAATTATTAAATTTGTAAAAATTATTTATTGTTCGAATATTATGGGACTGGTTTTAAAATGTGAACAGTTTGATACCAAAATGAATGACGTAGCACGAGAATTGAGGTGAGAAAGCTGAAAAAGTCTAAACATTTGAGTGGGGTTTGTGCACCCAAGGCCATCACTTGGCCTACCTGGCGGTGCACAGCGGGTTGCCCGCCGGGCACGCAAAAGTGTTACGAGGCACATCAGAAAACTGGAAAAGGTGCAAAGACATGCAATTAAATACCTTCTAGAAATGAAAGACAAGAGGTATGAGGAGAGGTTACACACATTAAATATGCCAAAGCTAGGCAAATCAGGCAACCTCAGTAACCAAACTAGGCAATGTCAGTATGAGGTTGCCTGGTGCTCATTTTACCTTTTTCTGTCTGTCATTTTTCTTCGGTTTCCATTCCAGTGGTCCTTTCCTTCTTGTTAAGGTTGTTTTTATTTTGACATATAAAATACACCAGTACTATTGCCACTTTTCAACATTGGGAGAGTTGTTGTTGCTTGCATTTGACATAGATGCATCTTCAACACAGTTCCGCAAGTTGTCTTGTGCATTCTTTCACCTCTGAGGTGGCTCATGCACCTCCTGAGCCATCTTGGTCTCTTGACTTAGTTTTAGCATTTTACATCCCTTAGTTCATGGTTATCTCTTTGGCTGTGGATGTTTTTCCCAAAGGCTTGTTTTTGTTGGCTTTCACCTCTGACTGTTAGGTTGGGGAACTTCATGCTCTTCTCTGGAGGTCGGTTCTGTTCGTTCAGCCCTGTTGGGCAGTTTGTTCATCTGCAGCCTTCCTCTTGTGTGGCAAGAATGAGTTGGCTGGTTTCCAGAGGGGTCCTTTGATGATTGGTACCACGGGTGTATCATTTGTTGTGTCCGGTGGTGGCTCTTCGCTGCAACCTGCACGCCACCGGTTCTGCCTTGGTATATGCTTTGTTGATTGACCATGTTTTCTTGGACCCTTCTTCCAAGCCTCATATATCTCAGGTTGTCTGCAAGGTCATAAACTCAAGTGAACCTGCTGTCTTCCCTTGGACCAAAGATGTTTGTAAGTATGCTGCATTAGCATTAGTCTTCTCAAACACGACATGGGCTGATGTTTGGGCTCAGATATTTTTGAGGTCTAACAGGGTCTTTGCAGCCCCATGAGTATTTAGTTGACGTTGGCCTCGTACACACTGGGCCAGGTTTCCCAGCTCATGATTATCTCTTCATCCTAGTACCTGCCAACTCTTCTCCCTGGCAAGTCTTTTTTCTGGTTTCTCTGTGGTTAACTTCAGGGAGCCACCAAGGGACCCAGACAACCAGAGTTGAATGTAAAGAGATGCCTCTTTCAAGTGGAGCTCCAGTGGCTCCCTGACACCCAACCAGGTTTGTCCATTCATCGGTTTACTGTCCATTGGCTTCAATCTGTGGAATGGAGCTAGCATGGGTTAGGGCTCCAGGCCACCTCGTGACAGCTATCTGTTCAAACCATCCTCCTAATAGCACGTTACATTTTGATGTGTACTTTTTCCAAGGCAGAAGCTGTTGTGTGTTGTACAAGAAAATTGTAGTGTCTTGCAAAATTTACATAATGTTCTGTTTTCTGTTCATGGATTCTCAAGTAGGTTAGTAACAACAGTTTCTCGATGTTGAGAATGCTCATGAGAACGGAATGATCTGTTGACGCTCATTAGTGATTAGCTTAACTCTCCTGAATAGTTCTGCACAGTTGTTTGGCTATTTTAGTAATTTGATTCTATGAACCCATCAGTTGTCTGTAAAGCTTCACTGACTTTTTGGTTGCTTTCCTGGTGTGGGTGACATTAATAGTCTCCACTCCCTGTACCTCTGTGAGTGGGCTAGGTTCTGGCTCTGGTCTCCTTTAGGTGAAACAGGACTACGGTGACTGATTAAGTAGTGGGAAGCCATCTCAGTGAGATAGCTTCAAGGAACCACCAGGGCTCCATCAGAAAGAGACATTTCATTACATTCAATGCTGGGTTTTTTCCCATTACACATTAATTCTTTTGTAAAACATCATGTTACTGTTTGATGTACTGTAAGCATTTTCACACTTTAGAAGTATGGTTAATCGACAAACTTAGTTTTCTCTGGAGTTCGAGAAAACATAAATGTATGTGTTGGTGTTTTCCAACAGGGTGGTGGTGCAGTAGGAGCAGCACCATGGCAGCCAGTGGTAGGAACGAGCATTCTGCCACAGACTGTTTGTGAAAGTCCCATTCTTGAGATGCCAGAACACATGGAAACTTGAGGTTCATTATTTCTACCCAGCTTTCCAAAGCCTATACCACGGCTGGCAACTAAATTGACAGTTTGGAACCACAATAAGTAATGGTTCTTTAACAGTGACTGAAAATACCACATCCATGCCGAATAACCTGTTTGCCATAAATATGGCTTACAAGAAATGTAAGAGTTCTTAGAATGAATAGAGTTCTTACTAATATGTCACTAACTGCTTCCATCACCTCTGTAACTCAGGCTGCAACATAAATACCATAAAATCTGGAATGAATCTACACTTTTGATTTTCCAGAAAGCAATGATAACAAAAGGGAATGAAAGGTAATGTTGCTGCGTGTCAATAGTATGACAATTTGAATTTTAACCAATTAAATATTTCACTTCATGTGCTAATATTTCATTTGGGATTTCTACAGAAATCAGCTCATTGGATTTAAAGCATTCCATTGTTTTAATAAACGTGATTGGAATATGTTATTTCCATGATGGAAATTGCTTTTTCTAAAAATTAAAAAAGGTGTAGTATATCACTTGGAGGGGCCAAATATTACTTCAGTCACCCACTGTCTTAGACAGGGTTAGTAAGAAGCAGGATATTAAGCATAGGAAGCTGTTACATATAAAAATTGCAATTTAATTCATCCAAGTAAAACATTGCAGGCTTTCCATAGGATCAAGCCAAGATTTTCCAATTTATTAATAAGCATCTAAGCGAGAGATATCTTTGCCGTATCTGAGAAAACTGACCTTCACTGCCAGTGACGCCCACAAGCTGTATATATATAATGGTTAATACAAATTAAGATAGGAAAAGTTATGTTCATGGAATGAGTGCTGTTTCACTCTTCATTGTAAAAAAAAATTGTTGCAGAAACTTCTATTGTTTTTTTCTTTGTGAAATAAAATGGAAAGGAAAGAGAAGACAATTACTGTACAGTTACCTCAGGAGTAGAAAGGCTTGGCTTCTCACAGCCGAACAAAATGTTAGCGGTAAATATCGATCAGAGATGATGAGATGTCAAAGATTAATACAATCAAAGATATCAGTAATACTAGCCTGGCAAAAATCAAAAGAAATACATAACATGATATAATAATAATAATAATAATAATAATAATTTTTTTTATAAAATCAGTATTCCATAGATTGATGCATCTCTGGCATTTTAAGTTAATTGATATAATTGTACAGATTTATCAGTGAATGAGAATAATATGTTAATATTATTTTGATCCATAATGATTTTTTGTTTTTTGTGGCATTCTAAGCTGTAAGACATCTTTAATTTCAAGACAGATAGTCAAACTGAGATGTATATAAGTACAGTAGTTTTAATTACAGTACTGTAATTTACATGAGATTTAATTATTGAACGAGTAAAAAAAATTGGAGATGTAATGTACTGTACATGAAATTAAATTTGTCTTCAGATGTGAATGTTGATATTGTTACTTTGATAATATAACATTTTCTGAAGAATACAAATTTTGCAACAAGTTTTGAAACAACGTATCAATATATTCTCACAAGGAAACTTCTATGGATGAGCAAGGTTGGACTCTCCATGGCAAGAATCCCTTCTCAGGCAAACTCAATATAATGTGCTTCGGAGTCACCTTTCTAGTCATTAATGTTTAGTGCAAGAGAAAAATACCACTGAAAGTGGAGGAGTTTGTTGAAGCTGTTGCATATTTTGAGTTTTTTAATGTCTTAATCTACATTGTGTTAAATGAATATTGATAGTTTTGTTTTATTTCTTATTAAAAGGGAAATTGTAACCCCAAAATCTGTGAATCTAAGTGTAATTGCTCCTGCAAACTTTTTCCTGCTTGTGGTGGCCTACATGGCATCCCACGAAGACTGATGACAAATGCAGTATGGACACCGATATCAGGCTAGCTTTATGAATTTCCTATGAGACATGTACAGTTTTCCCAAATAAAGTTTTATTCCTGGACTTATAACTTCTATCAGTAGTAACTGCATCACCGTGAGGCTCCATCCCTCTTCTAGTTACCTCGTATGCATATAAAATTCATAAACATGGGCTTTCCGTTAATTTTTAGTAATGTGGGTACGGTAGTTTCATTGTATATGTGACAATATTAGGATTTGCGAATCTTTCTGAAATGTTATATTTATCCATATAACTGTACTGTATATGGAAATAAAATCCAGTTAGAACTGGAAGGATTTAACATATGCTAATTTTTAAACATATACAAGTAAGACTTGCATGCCATAATTAAATGATTACTAGGGTAGAAAGTCATTACAAAATTACATGTTTAGAATCCCTCTTACCAATTATAAGTAAATTTTAATTTATAAATGCTATATACAGAATTTGATTCATAGGAGAAATTTAATTATTGATAATTATAGATTCGAGTTAATTTATTTAGATTGGAGTGCAGTACTGTAAACATAAAGAATGAAACATAAGATTGAACTTTCCTTACATTGCAGAAAGTCTCACCCATGTATCTACCAGATCAGCAAACAACACATTGATTTCATTTGATGCTGTCAGATAATCTCATTCTTTTTGTGTAGACTTCATGATGCAAATGCAGGTCTCCATTGACAATAGGATCAGATTCTGTAAGTGAACCCCACAAATGCAACTATTACCGATATCTTCTGACATTCTGTTTGTGATTAAACTGTGGAAGATTTTACATCACTTAATTTAGTCTGAGCAGTAATCTAACACAGTAGTTCAGGGAAAGATCAGAGAAATTGGAGAAATATCATATAAATAGTAATGAGTAAATTACAGGACCTCTGTAATTTCTTTGAGTTAGAAAATGACTACACAGGAAAACATTAGTCATACTTACTCTCCCAATGGAAATCAATTGAGACATTTCCGTTTTGTATTTGAAATGTGAGAGGAGTTGTAATGTTCAGAATTATTTGCTGACTTTTGGGACAAATATTAATACTGTATTATTCATACTATACTGTACTTTCATATTATTTTACTATTTTTTTGCTCCTGGAAATAATCTATATATGTTAGTGTGTTAATGATGAGTATACTGCATCTTGATGGCAGATCCTGGAATCTGAGAACATGGAATGGACAGCATATGAGAGGCCTCTAGGTTATACAGAACACTATCTTCTGAAAGTTTTGCATGATTTTTAAACTTAATGTTCCCAAAAATCATAACTTTAGTAGGCAAGATTATTTATATATGCATACAGTATATATAATATGGGTCTGAAAGATAACTTTCACAATTAGTGAATGAGGGACTTCTAATTGTTGGTTTGCCACTGCAACTATTTTAGGATAGTGCATTTAACCTTACAGTGGTCACAATTTGTTCCTTTATAATTATTTAGTCTTAATAGGTTTATAGGTATTATTTGACATTAATGACCTAATAGATACAGATACTTGACATATCAAACACTTTCAACATTACGTCTAGCCTCGCGTGCAGGAAGGTATTATACGTAATCAGTGCAAGGAATTTGTTAACCTCGCTCTCAGAAAGTTTGTTCCCAATTTTAACTACAGTATACTGTATTGTGTATAAAAATGTTAATATTTGTAGATGAATTACAATTTAGTTAGCTAATAATCTTTAGAAGATTTAAAGCATTATCACTTGTCTTCAGCAATTTTTCCTGCTAATAAGCACATAACTAAATTTTCCTATTAGGAAATTTATAAAGTGTATGGTTGTAGCCAGAGTATATCTCACGTTACGTAGAAATGGGTAAACACAAATATTTAAAATATTATTAATTCTACTTGTTATAAAGGAACTTCATTAATTTACTAAGTGATAAGGAAAATCACACTGAATATAGTAGTGCTAAGGGCTTCTGTTATACGAGTCCAAATCCTCATCCCAGATATGGATGGCTGGGCATTATTCTCTATTGTGTGTTGGAAAGTCAACATTTTGCCAATTAATTTGCAATATTGCCGATTTTTCTTAGAATTTGCAACTTCCCTTTAGGACTGCAAGAAGTACCGAAATGGTTAAGTAAACAAGTGTACCACCAACCCATTATTTACCTTAATAATAGTCACGTACCTAAATTGAGAATACATTACTGAACCTAAGGTAGAGCAGTAAGCACTCCATGATCCGATTCAAGGGACTGGAGAGAGAGAAAGAGAACAGTATACAACAGAATATCAAATGTCTCCAGTGTTGTTGTTTGGGTCATCTAGTCAGATGGGTTGCTGGTATTATTATTATTATTATTAATTCTGATATCATTATTTTTATTAATCTTGTATTTGTATTATTCTTGTGTTTATTTAAATGTCATTTTTTTTATTTATTTTTATAACATTGTATTAAGACTGTTAACAACTGTTTATATTATTATTATTATTATACAGTACTGTATTACAATAGTTATTATCTATATTAAGTGTATAAAAAAATTCTTGGAAATGTATTACCTTATGATGATCTTCCTTTAAAATGTTTAAATATATTGAGTGAGAATAAGAACAATAACATTCTACCTTTTAAACATTATGCAAGTTTCATTACATGTTTTGAAATTTACCGTATATTAAGAAGAACAATACTCGACAGTTTCAGGGCATCTATGAATGTGACTGAAACCTGTACCAGATCATATCGAAATACATAGCACCCCTATTAGCTCAAATGTGTATATTGCATGTGCAAACTAGAACTGTATTATAAGCAAGAGAATTTACAGATTCTTATTTTTCTAGAGTGTGGGATGATGCTCAAATAAGTATTCAACTAAATTTCTACCAAGTTCATTGTGTTTAAAATGGCTGTATGTTGGTCTTATATACTGTAAATGGAAGCTTGAATGTGATCATTATTAGATAATAATGGATATGTGCTTCTACAGGGTACTAAGGAAGCTTTGATAATACAGTTGACTATTTATCTCATAAGTTTTTAAGTCATAAGGTCGTAAGCCTGTGTACTGCTGGCGTGTTGTAATCTGAATTTCTCTGCCGAGGTGATTCATTATTGGCAATGTAAAGGGATTTAAGGCATTGCTTTTATATTGTTATTTAATGTGAGGATCCAGAATTGGGTTAGTAACCTTTCTTAAATTACACTATTATAAAAGGTACAAAATACTGGGATATTTTACAATATTGTACATTATATTTATATTCCAAGATCTGATATAGCATCTGCATATTTACCAAATTGCCATAAATAAGCTTTTTAATGTAGATTGTGGAATTCTGTACTTAATGTCAAGAATCTTGAATTTTCATGTTACTGTTTTTAAAACTGTTGACAAAATAGTCAGATTTTGCTTTTCAAAAACAGTTGCAGCCTTTACATAAAGTCAACGATATCACACATCATTTCCATAAGCAATAAATAAAGCACTTCATTAACAAATTTCTGATCTTCTTGTGTCAAGTGATAAATGCTGAATCCTTACCTGTCATTTTAAGTCATTTAATGTTCAAATATATTAATGATTGTAATGCTTAGCTTGGACACAGAGCTGCTCTAAGACTGCTAAATTATTTAAACTCGCACTTGATACCTCTTGTAGAAAAAGACGGTGGTAAAGAAGTAATGTGCACATCATTAGAGCAGATTAAAAATTTGATTTTAGTCAAGGTTTCTGTAGCTTGTTTGTGTATTTGAATTTTGTAAACAGTTGCAAAATATGACATTTACTCCAAAGATTGTCCAAGATTCATTTCTAAAATGATCATATGCGGTGAAGATAATGTTCCATATTTAAGTCAAATCAAGTATGGTCTTGAATTTGCTTGACATAAAATATGTTTAAGTCTATATGTAGTTACCCATTGTTGATTCCATAAGAGGGGAAATGAAACACTATAGTTGCCATGGTTTAATATACAGCTTTTTATTTTATAAATAAATGGGGTTGTCATAGCAGTTTCATAATGCTTGACCATAACTGATAAAATAAGGCCATCCTAGGTTGACCAATGTATGGTCTGTGACCTACTTAAATGTATGTGATAAACGTTTAGGTTTTGTAAGATTTTGTGTAATACAGGTATTTCTATATTTTATTTCCAAAAAGGCCATCACTATATATATATTTGTACAGTATGTGCATATGTATATATGTATATATATATATATATATATATATATATATATGCAAATAAACACAAACATACATACATACAAACAAACCTTCGAAGGTGTTGGAGAAAAAAAACGTCAGTAGTGTCAAAGCATTATACGACAGAGTACAGGGAAGACGGGACACCATGAACGTAGCTCATATCCTCTAACTACACTTAGGTAATTTTACACACACACACACACATGTAATGAATATAGGTGTAGGGAGCAGGAGACCAGATACAAGGTATCATTTGGGAGATAAAATTCTTAGTCAGAGAGAGAGAGAGAGAGACTTGGGGGTTATCATGCCAGACCTGTCCCCTGAAGCCCATATCAAGAGGATAACATCATCAGCATACGCCAGGTTGGCCAACATAAAAACGGCATTTAGAAACTTGTTTAAGGAATCATTCAGAACTTTGTATACCACATATGTCAGACCAATCCTGGAGTATGCAGCTCCAGCATGGAGTCCATATCTAGTCAAGCATAAGACTAAATTGGAGAAGGTTCAAAGGTTTGTCAACAGATTAGTACCCAAGCTGAGAAGTATGAGCTACGAGGAGAGACTACGGGAGTTAAACCTCACGTTGCTGAAAGACAGAGTTAGGGGGGACATGATCACCACTTAAAAGATTCTCAAAGAAATCGTTAGAGTAGATAAGGACATGCTATTTAACACAAGGGGCACACACTCTAAGGGACACAGGTTAAATTGAGTGCCCAAATGAGCCACAGAGATATTAGAAAACTTTTTTTTATGTCCGAGTGGTTGACAAATGGAATGCATTAGGAAGTGATGTGGAGGAGGCTGACTCCATACACAGATTCAAGTGTACATATGATAGAGCCCAATAGGCTCAGGAACCTGTACACCAGTTGAGAGGCAGGACCAAAGAGCTAGAGCTCAACTCCCTGCAAGCACAAATAGGTGAGTACACACAAAGCAAGCAACCACAGACAAAATCACCAGCCAGCAGTCTGCTCAAACACTTAATTCTCAAACCTGCCAACTATCCATAATGAGATGCTATAGCAATGCAGCAGAGGAAGACAGTTAATCAGACTTTGTAGTGTGTTCAGTGTTCGAGTGGTACAATTGGGCTCACAATGATATAATCAACAATAATAGTGTGGATAGAGGAGGAGGAAGCAGCAAGAGGAAGTTTTTAAAATATGGAAGAAATGGTGAAATTAATTTGGGAAAAGTGAACAAGGCTTGGGAGTGAGGCAGGTGGCAGGTGTGTTTGGTATTAACACTAGTACTCTTTCATATGAAGAAACAATGTTTAGATTTTTTAATTCATTGTCGAGACAGACAGACCGACCGACCTGGTGGTAAAAATTAGGGAAAAAGTTAAGAAATCAAAACCCGAGTTTGACGATACAACTTGGAAGTGATTTACGCAATAACAGTGTGGAATAAAGCCTGGTTGTGGTGAGCAGATTAAGGTAGCAGCGTAGAACTTTGCTTGTAATGTAGAGATCTTGGGAGGCTTCAAGGTAGATCTAGCTGGCTTAAAAATTTTAATAAAACTCAAGAAATTATTAAAACTAAGATCTTGGATAAAAAATTAAGTTTTGGTTTGGACATTGTGGAACCAATCAAAAGAAAACCACAGTTTTTGATGACCATAATCTCAATTGGTTACAAAAGACAAAACTTGTATAGTGTGGAGAGGTTTAATTGTCATCAGATATTGGTCAAAAGACTACAGAAAACATTTCTGTCCATAAAATTAGCAAAGAATGTGTTTCAGCTCTGGTGTGCTGATGTAGATGGTTCCAACAAATTAAACACAAATTGTAGGTAAACCTGGAAGATGAAAATCCCTGGAAAAAAAAAAAAAAAAACAGAACAAACTTTCTCTGTTTCCACCAGTTCAGCCATGCTTGTGTAACTAGAAATTGACAAAATTTACAATGGAATTTTTGAAAATGGTACCTTCAAGTATAAGAGATGGGTTCAAAGTAAGGAAACAGTGGCCAAAAAATTTGGAAGTTCACTTTTGCAAACAGAGTGGTAGATAGTTGGAGCAAGATAAGTGACGTGGTGGTGGTGGAGGATAAAACCGCCAGTAGTTTCAAAGCATTACATGACAGAGTACTAGGAAGAGAGGACACCACAAGCGTAGCTCTTATCCTGTAACTCCTTAATTTAAAAAAAAAATTGCTAATTTTGAGGGCCAATTTTATGAGAAGTTTTTCAGATCCGAATTCCAGATTAAAGAAGAGGGTGAAGGATAATGAGGTGT